GCACATCACAAGATCAGTAATGTGTAAACAGATAATAGGAAGAGCTGTGTCACTCATAATTAATTCAAAAGAGATGGCATTTCTATTTTCTTTTTTGTTTAGTAACAAAAGACAAGGCAGCCCCTCCAGAAATATGAAAGGGCTGTATTTCAAAGTCTAAACTCCTCAAACTCTACTCCCACCATAACATCAAATAATAATACTTAGCATTTACCAGACATCTGCTTGAATGATTGAACTCTGGCCACAGTCCCAACCCTATGGTCTTCTCTCCATACCCAATGAGATCTGAATGAAAACAAAAGAAATTTTAAGTCAATAAAACATTCATTACCTAATGTAATGCTTCTAAAACCTTTAATGGAACTTTTGAATGGCTTTGTGGACATACTGACCAAAATAGAAGACATCACATCAGATTTGAACTATTCATATGCTCAGGATGAGATTTGTTTAAGCAGAGGAAGCAGTATGTAATTCACTGGTGTACGTATTTACAAGTCCCCATCTGTGCCCAATCCACAGAAGATAGGAGCATGTTAAAGCATCAGCTACAGCACTTTAGCTCAAGATATAGTAGTTCATGCTTTTAACTTTACAGGTCCCCAGTGTGTCATCCAAGATGGTAGTTGTCACAATTACTCAAGCTGGACCAGACACAGTTAACACCCTTTTAACATCATGAGTTTAAGATTCATTACTCCATTTTACAGATAGGGAAACTGAGGCATGAAGCAGTTACATGACTTGCCCAAGATCACAGTAGTTAGTGGCTACATCAAGATTAGAACCCCAGGTATCCTGAATTCCAATCAATGGCCCCACCAGCCCACCAACTCCTGTATGCAACAGCTCTTCTTGACATTGCTGTGTTTATTGGCAGGAATAATTCATTATACATTATCAAATTCCAGACTGTAAAATTTCATGCTAGAATTGACAAAAGTATTTTATTTATTTTACTGGCCTTCTCACTGGTCAAAGGGAAAAGGCACAATTTGCCCCATTTGGGACACAGAAGAGCATAATTTATTTTTAAGAGTCTTATTCTTAATTTGAAACAGGATAGAGCTTTCACAGAATCTGACTTAGAAATGCCATACTATTACAAATATAAATAAGAGATTGACACAGACATGGGGAACTGGAATATTAATTATCATTGGCAGGATAGTTCTAAACACAGAAGACAGCCTGTTTTAAAATCTTTATTGGTACTGCAGAAACATAGAAGAATGATGGAAAATCTCTGGAGAATATAGCAATTTCCATAACCTTTTGATGTTAATTACAACTGTTATGACAGATAAACTAAAGTTGGGGGGGGGGTGTTCTCTGCTCATGATAACTGTGATTTGACAGAGACTCAAGGTGCAAGAGGAACCTTGGAGGGTGGGGGGGAATAGTCCAAAGTTTGAATGTCATCTTGAATACTTCTATCCAAACTTGCTAGAGCTTTTCAAAATTCCATAACATCCAGCTCAAAAGAGCCTTCCCCAAACCTCCAGTACCCATCTTCACTAAGAGAAGTCAGACTAAAGTTCATAGTGCAGCATATATTCTGTTTTAAAAAGAACTGCTCTGTCCTTTACGTTCACAATAATTTGAGAAGTGGGAATGTTTGGGAGTAAGGCCTTTTATTTAATTCTTGCCTATTTCTGAGTCTAGCTCCTTCCTCCTTTTCCTCCCACAGTACTTTTCTTTAAATAGTCAAAGTGTTGTGGAGTTTACGGTGGGATTCATAAAGGTATTTAGGTGCCTAAACCTGAGATTTAGGTGCCTAAGTCCCAGCTTTAGGCTCCACTGCAAACCACAAAACTCTTGTCAAACCCTGGAGGTGCCTAAACTCACTTGGCACCTAAGTTTTCAGGGTAAAAATTCCCTTGGCCCCCATGCCTAGAGAGAAGCACGTGCACTGTTGCCTCCCAGTGGGCTTCCAAACTCGTATATCCCACCTATTCCCCAGAGCAATTCACAAATCACAAGAAGGTAGGCATTCGTTGAGTGTGAGGCCCAATCCAGTAGACTGCCTACCAGATTGGGTCCCATTCAAAACCCAGCTGATGGAGGATGAAGAGGTGGTGGTCCGAATGCCCACCTTATAACTTTTACCCCAGTGGTTACAGCACTCACCTGGGATGTGGGAGACCCACATTCAGCTACCCCCTCTGCCTGAGAGGGAGAAAAGATTTGTACAGGGGCCTCCCACCTCTCAGGAAAGTGCTCTAAGCACTGAGTTATAGGATACGCTGATGTGTATTCTTCAATCTCTCTTATTGAAGCTTGCCACTGTGGACAAATGAGTGATTGGAGCAGGGGAACTGCACCACGGTCTCCCACCTCCCAGGCAGGTGCCCTAACCAATTCAATAACAATTTAAGTATTGAATCCACAGTGGAACAGTCATGAGAGGGTTATGCTGCCTCTTACTGGACACTTGTCAAGAACTACACTCTCTGGCCCTCAGTGGCTTTCGTTACAGGCTCAATGCAAAAATATTTTAAAATCTATGTATCTAATCCTATCTAGTAGGCATTTGTATGATGCTCAGATTATCTAAGTATCATTCTGATGGATCAGTCAGGTTTTTTTAGGGAGCTTCTAATTGCTAAATATCTAAAGATGTATTTCTTTGACACATTGAACTCATTGACTATTATTTCAAAACCTCCCTGCTCCCACAAGAAGCTATGGATGTGCCATCTCAAACTGTGATTTCATCACATCCCACCTCCTAAGTCCTTGATCCTGCAAATACTTATGCACATGCTTAACTTTACTAATAGTCCCAGTAGGGACTGTGAGAAATAATAGCGGGACTGCTCACAATAGTAAAGTTAAGCATGTTTGTGTTTGCAGCATCAGGACTTAAGTTTTGGTCAGGTCTGCATTTGGATGAAAGATTTCTAGGGAACCAAGAGCAAGAGTGTTGGTGGTTCAATATTTGGTACTTCTTCCTATGAAAATTCTGTACTGAATCTGGGAGAAAAGACAATTTTATGGTCAAAACCCAGGATTGGGAGTCAGGAGATATTTACAGATTTGCATTTGCATTCACAGGTCCACTACAGACTTCCTCTCTGATCTTGAACAAGCCCTTCAAACTCAGTTTCTCCATCTGTAAAATAGGCCTAACACCACTTACTTAGATGACAGGAATGCTGGGAGGATTAATTTAATAATGTTTCTAAACTGATTTCAGACTTTTATATGGAAGTCTATGGAAAGGAAAGGTATTATGAACTTCTTTATTATTAATAAACCATATCCCAGAGAAGATATAAAATCAAAGTCTATCTTGATCACTAACTTCTCTTAATACTAGCAAAATTCCATCTTGGTTTATTACATTCTCCCTCGCTAAATTCATTTTTTGTAAATGCAAAAAGAATCCCAGCATCAGTAACCTATTACTTTAAAGAAGACCAAACAAGAGCTCTTCTTTCTAGAGACAATTTTAAGGCATCTCTATTTACTGTAAATTTTTATATTGTTTACAATTATTTGCCTTTTAATTTCAGTGGATGTCCCGTTGATCTTGTATTATGAGAGGGTAAATAAAAACACACACTTTACTTTCTCTATACCATTCATTATTTTCTATACCTCTATAGACTATCATGTCACCTCCCGTTAATCTGCTCTCTTAACTGAACAGACCTTTTCCATTGCTTCTCCTTTGGAAGACTTTCCAAACCTCTAATAATTTTTATTGCCCTTCTCTAGACAACTTCGATGTATTTTTTAAAATGAAGTGTCTAAAAGCGGACACAACAATCAAGATGAGAGCACACCATCAATTTACGTTGTCCTTAAAATATTTTCCATAATTATCCATCCCTTTTTGATCACTACTGAACATTTTAATGAGCTAACCATGGTGACACAGAGGCTTTTTTCTTGAGTAATTAACGCAGAACCCAGCAATATGTATAAATAGTTCAAATTGTAAGACCCAACACACATCACACCAAGCACTTGCCCGCAGTGAATTTCATATGCCAACATGTCATCTAATCTCCTAGCTTTATTAGGGCCTTGACGTTCTTCACAGTATTTTTGAGTTTGGAGCAGTGGTTCTCAGCCTGCCGCTTGCAGCCCACAGCTGCAGTCCACATGACATCCTCAGGGCCAACAGGTAGTGTGTGAATATATATATAGTGTGGATGTGACCCACATAACACAGAGAGAATTGCATATGCGGCCCACAATGGTAAAGAGGTTGAGAACCATTGATTTAGAGCAACCCAAATAATTGTGTGTGACCTGCAAACTTTACCCTTTCATCAGTCACCCTCATTCCAGGTCATTAGTCTAGCTGTTAAGCCAAGCTCTAGCAGGATTCTTGAAGGCATCTTATTATTAATCTACTTCTGCCCTGAAATCTGACCATTGATTGTTCATCTTTGGGCCTGGTTCTCTCCCCCTCGCGTAAACCAGGAGCCCTGCCCCGGACTTTAGTGACGTTACAGGTGTCAAACCAGAGGAAGGGAGAGCAGGGTCGGGCGTTTTGGTTTTATCGCTGAGCCCCCCGGAGGGAAGCTGACCGCCCGGGGAGTGCGTAGGCCCCAGCCCTGCGCCTGACCCGGGCCGGGCATTCCGCTCGCAGCAGTCCCGGGGTAGGTTCGGCTGGGCCTTCCCGCTCCCCGGCTCCTGGCACCGCCTGGGCAGCGGCCACCGACCTGCCGGCTTCCACTAGCGGGGCGGCTTTGCCAGGTCAGTGTCTGCTGGACGCCGGGGGAAGCCAGGCCCGGGGGCGGGGCCCGGATATAACGTCTGGAGTAAGCTGGCCCCGATTCAAGGGGGCCTCTCAGCAAAGGGGCTCGTACCCCCCCCATGAGCCCGAGTGGGGGGAGGGGCTCTGCGCCCCGCTGCTCAGAGGCGGCTGCGGTAAAGCACAGCCACCCGGGCCGAGGTCTTCCAGCGCAGTCGAGTGTGCAGGTCAGAGCGGACTTGCTTGGGCCGCTCTAGCCTGACGCTTCCGGGGGGTCGGTGGTAGCCGCTTCCGGTGCGCGCTGCATTGTGGGTCAGTGGTAGCCGGGATGGTGGGGGAGGTGGAAGAGGCCGAGTTTCCCGAGCGGTTCCGCTCCTACTCGGAGAACGAGAGGCACTGGCAGGCCCGCCGCGAGTTCATCCTGCGGAACCTGACCCCGGACTGGGCGGGGGAAGCGCCATGGCCCGCTGGCCGCATCGACCATCTGCTCTCGCTCTCCATGGTGTGGGCCAACCATCTCTTCCTGGGCTGCAGGTGGGGGGCCAGAGAATCCCCCCCTGTTACAGGTGGGCGGGGCAGTGAATCCGCCCCTGACCCCGCCGCCCCCCCGTTGCAGGTGTGGGCGGGGCAGTGAATCCGCCCCTGACCCCGCCGCCCCCCCCGTTACAGGTGTGGGGGGCCAGTGATCCCCCCCTCTCGGTTGCAGGTGCGGGCCAGTGAGTGACCCATCCCGAACCTGTAGAGAGCTGGAGGGAGGTTCTGCCCCCCATCCCCCAAGTGCAGCCAGCTCTCTCTGCTGGCAGAGGCAGCCCACTGAACCCACTCCCGGGCTAAGGTGGAGAGTCCTTGGAGAGGGTCAGCTGCTCTATCCTGCCTCCGTCATTCTCCTTCCCCTACACAGTAGGTTAGGACAAGGAGAGACCCCTGTACACTCCCTTCTCCAGCCATCAGCGCGCCTCCTGGGTCTGAACATCTCCGAGTTCCCGTCGCTGCTGAAAAGGGGTGGGCTGGTTTACCTGGAGGTAACTAACGTGTGTGAGCAACCCTCAGGGAAACGCACAGTGAAGACAGCACGAAGGCACTTTAGTTTTACCACATCAAGGCAAATTTGCTGAGATCAGCCCCAGGCGGGGGAGAGTTTATCTTGCTGTAGAACTAAAGCACCTTTTGTCTTCAGTGTGTGTTTACCTCAGGATAGCTCACACGCATTAGTTATCACCAAGTTAAAAAAACAACAACAAAACACTTCTGTTTTTTTAGTGGTCCTTGCCTTGTTAAATTTAGTTAATGCCTCTCCGGTTAGCCTAGCTCCAGTGAGAGCATCACATTGCAAAACAACACATTGCAGCACCAAGTGACTGGATTAGCATACAGCTGAGTTAGCACTGCATTATGAGCTCCAGTGTTAGTAGGATCTAAATTTCAATATGCACCCCAAAGTTGAAAGCACCCTAACTTGAGCTGAAGACGTGTGTGTGTATACAGAAGTCTGGTTAGAGGCAATGATTGAGTTATATCTTAAGCTAACACTGTAGGGAAAACTTTTGATCTAAACCCCACAACCATGACCAGCATTGCTGTGTCTGTGTAAATGTGCAAAAGGTTATGTTATTAAGTTGTATAACTTTGGTTTCAACACTGTGCTGCTGCAGAACTAGTATGGAACACCTGTGCACAAAAACTATATGTATTTAAATTTTGATAGACCCACACAGGTTGAGAGATGACTGTTTCATTCAGCTTTATAACTGATCTGAACATACATCCTTGCCATATTGAGACATTTGAGGGTTAGTTTTATAATACAGTGCACTGCAGTTTCTTAATGTGGGATCGGTAATTTTTCACAGGCATTTATCTTTGTTATAGTTACAGCAAAGACCTTTTAGACAAGGTAATAGAAATGGCTGAGGGGATTGAAGTTGAAGATGTACCACAGTTTACTACGCGTGATGAAATAATGAAAAAGGTAACTATTCAGTTTAGAATTTCAGAACTTGTTTTGTGGGGATGATACTATGTCAAATTTCCAGGTTTGTGCAATGTACAGAACCAATAAGTCTCAAGAAAAGTATGCCAAGTACTTGTTCCTAAGAGTTCTGCTTTACTACTCTAAAATTCTCTCCTCTCATTCTTGTGCTTCTTACAGCGTTCTTAATAACGACATCCCAGAAGAATATTACACATGGATCAGTTATACATTGGTGGTGGAGCTACTAGCATATTTGCAATATTTGCTTTTCAGTTTTTGTTACTAAGGAAATGTTGGTCAAATGTATTTCTGCAATTTATTAAAAAGCATTTTTATTATCCATTCTGCTAATTGGAAACCAATAATTTCATTTTTATGTATTTCACTGGAGGAATTGTATCACCAGCTTTGCAAGTGCTATGTACTCCAAAAAGTACTGCGATGAGAAGCTAATTCCCAGAGAATTCAGGCCCCAATCCTGAAACACTAGTGCATCTGCTTAACTTTAAGCATGTAAATAGTCCCATTGACTTTAGGAACTACTTATGTGCTTAAAGTTAAAGTACATATCCTGGTGTTTGCAAGATCAAGGCATTAATCTTATCTGGCTGGGTTGTGGGTGACCTGGAATGCTTGTATATCTCTCTTACAACTAAATGAGAAGTAGAGCTATAAATGAAAGTACTGTGACAACCAAGTACTAAAACCCCAAAACAAACTAGTAAACCCCTGTGCCATAGAAACAGCTGCCTGTTGTTTTCAGGCAGAGTTTGAATCACTGAATTTAAATTATGGCTCAGTTTTTTTAACTCAATTTAGCTTCTCTCTCTCTCTCTATCTTTTTTTTTTTCCTTAGGAAAAGACAAACAAATAATGGTAACAGCTTCCCAAGAGGGGAAGCAATTGAAATCGCTTCTCTTTTAGACAACATTTAGAGGCCTTAAGTAGATATGCAGCTGTCCTTCATGTTGATTTTGGAAGCTTTATTTTCCACACTCAAAGCCTATTAATATGACTCTAAATACTTTTGGTGGTGTTAAATGAGGCACTGTGAGAGTACAAAAAGTGTCTTCTCATGAATAAAATGGTTCCAAATTGTTATATTCTGAAAATGGGGGTCATTTTTGGTGTCATTATTAGTGGAGATCTCCTGTATTTTTATCATTTTTTAGGATAGCAAACTCCTAAGTGAGCAGTTACTGTGAGATAGCCATTAAAATTATGTATATGATTTGTTTGTTCTCTTAGTTGTTTAACACTTTTTGGATATATAAGCAGGTGAAGAGGGGATTCCAAATCTTATTAAATGATATTTTTATATGGTTAAGCTGAAAATACTTCGGCTTTTATCTCCCAAAGTTGGTTCTGGGCTTTACAGGGAGTTAAACATTAATTTAAAATGCAAATCTAAACAATTTGGATTATTAAAATCTAATTGCTTGCAAAATCACTTGAAATTTCAAGACCAAGCTCTGTATGTGTGCGTGTGTGCGCAGGGATGCACTTTTATTCTTATTTAATGGGGATTATATAAAACTATTCCTTGAAAACTCTACAAGAAGTTACACTAGGAAGTAATAAAGTAGGTTTTGTGTAAGTCTTGTACTCTATTATGCTAAGGAAATCCTCTAAAGCTAATGTATGTAAAAGTCAATGTGAGTTCTTCATGCTGTTTAAAAGTAGTTTAAAACAGAACGTAAATTTTCATTCTGTGCCAAAGAATGCTGAGCAGGGTTGTTTGTTTTACTTTCCTGGCGGCCGTATTTTTACAGTTGGAGAGTGTTACATTCAGAAATGAATAAAGTTCAGATCCCATAATTACTTCATTCAGCACTACAGCCAAATTTTAAAATTGCTCTATGGGTTTTGCTTTTTTAAATTTAGAACAATCTAACTATTCAAGTAACTGTATTGCTAGCTGTTTGGGGAGTAAGATTTTAGTTTAAGTATTTTGATTATTGTCAGCAGATGTAAACTAAATATGCTCTGCCTTATGGATAACAAGAAATAGATACTAGTTGTATTCTACAGAATTTTCTGTTGCAAGATATCAAGTCAAGTACTCGTATCTTCTTTCTACCTATTATTTCACTGGAGTAAAAATTCGGTATCATTTGCTTTCACTACCATGAGCATTTCCATATTACAAATACATAACTTGTTTTCTCTTTATTTTTAGCATCAACATTAATACGTGCGAAGAAGAGATCTAAAATTTTTGTCATAATACAAGATCAGTTTATGTGGAGGACCCAGTGTTAATTGAACATACTGTTTCTAAAAGGACTCCCTATGCTGTACCCTAGGGAAAGGATTTTTTTTTAAACTTTGTGCCATTATGATGATGGATATCCACTTCCAAAGCTTTTTAAAATGACAGAATCAGATTTTTTAAACAATTTTACAACTCATTGATTCATACAGCAAAGAAAAAGATATGATGGACTGTATTTTCCCCTTTCACATGAAGACAGGGAAGAGCAATAACTCCCAGAAAAGAGGGGGGAGGTCTGGGGAGCTGCAGCATCCCCTCTTGTTTGAGTACAATTCTGTGTAATGACCAATGAGTCCAATTTAGGATGAGAGGCCATGGGGAATACTTGCCTCAAAGCACACACCCACTTAGGACAGCAGGGGCTTACACTTCACTCTCAGTTGAAAGTAAGGGGATGTTATAAGGCTGTTTAGACCATTGACGGATATTGTTACCCAGGTTTCATTCTGTGTAACAGGGGAAAGGGAGGGCATGGTGCACAAAGTGGTCATTACTCTGCTCTTCCCCTTCTCCTATATGCAACTTAGATGGGTCTGTGGTGATGGCAAATGTCCCAATTAGCTGATTTTCCCCTTTGCATGCCTGCATCACTCTTCCCCAGAGTTTCTCTCTACTGCAGGGGAACCCTAGGAGTCTAAAAGTAACACAGAATATTCTGTCTTTTAAAAGTCTTAAAAATAAAGTGTTTTATGCCACATTTTTAAAGTCTTTAGAAGGCCTAATAACTGTGTCCATTCAGTCATTAGAATGAAAATTTCAGTCATGAAATCTGGATAACTCTTTTGATTTTTAGCAATAAAACCATGTTCCTTTCATGTAAAGTGAATTCCCTCTCTTGAAGCTTTATTTAGATAAAACATATCTACTGCTGTTCTGTCAGGATCTGATCCAAAGCCCATCGGAATCAAGGCCCCAGAATGCTTTAAATTAGTAATCTTCCAAATGAATAACAATTGCCATAGATATGTTCACCTGTATCTTGTAATCTCTGGGAAATGTCAGGGGAAATGCTGAAGGTTTCATCTGAACAGAGGCTTAAATAGCGTAAGTGCCAGACCAGTAATCAGATCAGTTACCAAAAGCATTGCCTCCACTGATAAATTGCCTTTCTGGAAAGCCCCTTCCAATCCCCATGGAGTTACAGTAGCCATTTCATAAATGAGGTCAAGATCCTTTGTGCTCTGGACCTAAACAATGGGTTTTGTGGTACAGCAGACTGAACATTCTGCAGTAGCTTTATTTACATTTAAAACTGAATGAATGTTTTATTGCATTAAATATAAAAATGAATACAATCACTACAGTAGCTTGTGTTGTTTTGATATTCAATTTATTTTGTCTGTCCCTGCATTTTCAGTATACTACAGACTGTACTGACCAATCTATAATTGTATCATAGAAGTAATGGGAAGCTGGAGGATTTTGCATGTTGGGGTAGGGAGTGTTGGGGCTTTTAAAATCTAGATACGCAAAAGGAGGCAGTTTGGGGATTCTGGGATCAGCACATTAGCTGAATCGTTCTGCTCATTTGATCAGCAGTGAAGTTGTTAGCTGCTGACATTTAAATTATTAGTAGTTTTCAGAGCTAACACCCCACTGACATAAATGAGAATTCAAACTTCATGTTCAGGCTGCCTGAAGACTTGGGAAGACAATACATCAGTTTACACAGAGTACATGGGTATTGGTGTTAGTAGCACCACTTCTACATAGAATAACTGTTGATATTGCCAATGTTTTTTCAAACTCATGTTTTAAATCAACACACAATCACAAAATGCATATTTAAAAGAAAAGTTAAAGTCCTAGCCCCACTAATTTCAGTGGAGCCAGGATGTCACCCCCTATATCTGAGCTCCTATGTCTAGAGATTTGATGCAAACCTATTGGACTTGAGTCAGTAAAGTGATTGTGAATAGTGAGGGGCAGCTGGGGAGGCTGGACTCTGTAGTCCATGTTCACAAAGGTTGTGCTGGGCTGAGAGAGAGGAAGGATGACATTGTGGCTGAAGCACAGTTCTTGAAGTCAGGAGATCCAGGTTGCCATGTAGCACTAGGTAAAGTCACTTCCTGTCTCTTACAGATTGGGAAACTGAGACACAAATGGGGATAGTACTTGCTCATCTGACAAGGGATTGAGATGGTTAATTCATTGTTTGTAAAGTGCTTTGAGATTCTCTGATGGAAGGTGTGGTAACAGTATAAAATAATTCTATATTAGAATTTGGTTGTGCAGGGTCAAGTTTCCTTGTGGGGAAGGGATAGATCACTGTCTGGGGGTTGTGCTGTGGCTTGAGAGAAAGAGGACTGATGACCTAGAGCCTGTTGGTTCTAAAGGTTAAAAATCTCTCAAATTTGCTGACACCTTGTACCCTAAATCTGAGGTTGATGTATTTTTCAGCTGAGTTAAATACAATTTTGGATAGCAAACTTTCAACTCAACTGCGGTGTCATGATTTGCCAGTATTAACCAGACATTTTAGAAGGATATGTTGCGCTTTTTTGATTTCCAGCTGTTGCTCTGAATGTGCTTTAGACATTAGCTAATTAAGCTACTCAGTCTGAGGGGATTAAGTGACTTGATCGAGGTCTCAGGATCTGTCTACATTTAAACCACTACGGTGGCACCACTGCAGCGCGTCAGTGTAGACACTACCTATGCTGATAGGAGGAGTTCTCCTGTTGGCATAAGTTATCCACCTCCCAGATAGATGGTAGCTAGGTCAATGGAAGAATTCTTCTGTTGACCTAATGCTGTCTACACTGGGGTTAGGCTGGCATAGATATGTCTGTCAGGGGTGTAGATTTTTCACACCCCTGAGAGAGAGAGAGCTATGCTGATGTAAGTTCCTGGTGTAGACCAGGCCTCAGGGAGGGCCAGTGTCAAAGCTGGAAACAGAACCCAGATCTACCGACTCCCAGTCTTGTGTTCTTAACGCAATAGTTGACATATGTATGATGCTCTTGCATGTATAACATTGCATCAAAGTCATGGTATAAGTGAAGGTCCTATTGAAACAATGTAGGAAATGTTAAAATGCGGAGTGGAACAAGCTTTTGGTTTTACCTATTTTGTGAAGGCACAGGTACCCTCCCCCCCCCCCATTGTATCGGGGGCCAAAACAAGAACAGTAGGAACTGATGAATGTCTATTGTGTTTAAGAATCTGATCAATGTCAAGACAATAGGGAAGCAGGGGCTAGAGGGAATAAAACAGTCATGACCTAAAATGAAAAAAAAAAATTCTAGACATTAGTGAAGAAGCATTTACAAATTTCAAATCTCCAATGAATGGAAATGTCATTAGCCCCTCCGTGGGGCATTACCAGGCCCTCTTTATACTACTCATCCCCCATGTTTAATACAGCAGTGCTCAGCTGGGTGTAATAATAAACAGTAGATTTGGTTTATTAAGATTTACTAGAGTTCCAAGAATGCTTTGAATAATTTGAATGAGCTACCAGCTTCAACTTACGAGGGTATCACAGGGCCAATAAAAGGAAAATCCATAATATATAGCAGAGAACTGCTGCTCTGGCCAACTGCTAACCACACTTGGATGAAATACTGAGCTATAAAACATGTTTAAAGTGGAAGAACTGCACTCTGAAAAAGCATGCATACCTCTTAAATTAGTTTATTGCAGCTTACTTTCAGGAGTTTCTATACTTATTAACTAGAGCTGATTTTCAGCCTCTCAGCTCTGTTTTGGCAGCAGAATTCTTCCCTTTGTATCATGTTCTTTCTCTTAAAGCTGGGCAGACAGCAAAAGCTTAAAGTTGTATTGTAAAGGAACAGCTTCAGTTTCTTTTACAATGCCACTTTTCTGAGCGAAGGTTACACTGAGCTGCTCTATGTGCCTAAACTCTGCTTAGGACACTGTAAATGTATTACATTGTGCCCATATTTTCCAGAAGTTAAAGTAAATGTGGAACACTAATGATATCCTCCTCATACAGCAGCTAACAGTGTGTAGTATCACACCTGTTGTGCCCTGGCCAGAACGTTAAGGCTGCTGTACTAATTCCTCTGGTTGCCCTGTTAGGGAAGCTGGTCCTCCCATTTGGTACTAAAGGTCCAGAGTTCTATTTCTACAGCTGTACATAGTCTGTTTGTTAATGACTGTGGAGGCTGGGTTGGACCATAGATCATTGCAAGTGCAACACACATTACGTGAAATGTTTTATTAAATGGAAGCTATTCAAGAACACTGACTGACTGAACATCACTGAAAGCTTTTTGTAATATGAATGTACAAAGTTTCCTGAAAGTATTTAGTACAACTAGTGAATAGGTTTGGCCAATGAGTTATGACATCAAATGAGATGCTCAACTACTTTTCCATTAATACAGTATCATTTATAAAACCTTAGAAGCCAGAAACATTTTAAAAAAATCTCACATTTGACGTTTAAAACAAAATTTAAAGGCAAAATTTTCAAACTTGGGTGTCTATACTTAGGTGAAGACTGTCAAAAGTGATTAGTGATTTTTGGGTTTTTAACTTCAGAGTTTTCATTAAGTGTTGAGAACCTCCCCTCTGAAATTCAGGTCCTTCAAAGTGCCTTGAGTTGGACTATTCAAAATAAACTAGTCACTTTTAAAAATATAGGCACCCTACATAAAAGTGGCTCTGCACCCAGAACTCCCACTGAAGTCAATATGTTGGGGGTACTCAGCCCTCTTTAAAAAACAACAAAAAAACAGGTGACTTAAGTATGTCAAATTTAGACATCATGCTTTTAAAGTTTTGTTTTAAATGAGCAAATAGCAGTATCTTTCACATTTCTAGAAGCAGTGAGATTTATGCAGCCCTTTGTTTTCACCAGCATAATTGATTAACCCATTTCTGGGACCAGAGTTGGGTTTTGTTGAGGGTGGCAGCCTCAGACCCAAGAGAGGAAAATCTTTTCTTTGGAAGTTTTATTTTTAAACATCTTAAAATTCTGAGAGCATGGCCTATGACATCTGGGTCTGACAGTGAAGGTCATAAGTGGTAATAACTGATGTCCCCTGACTCCTATTCTCACTTTTACAGTAGGGCAGGCTCTAAGTATTACAGTAAAAATATGCAGCCAATAGAGCAGGCTGACCATCACTATATATTTTACACCCACATCATTCTTTTCATCCTGAAGTATTTACAAACTATGGCTCTGATCCTGTAACCATTTAGGCACACAAGTAATTTTACATACGTTAGTGTGACTTCACTGGTACTATTATCTAGTGTGTGTATATACATATATGACATGACACTGCTTTTATCTAGCTTTAAGAATTAAGGGTGTAAATCCAACCAGCATTTAAACCTATGGATGCAGAGAATCTATTCTAAACCACCTGACACTTAGACCACTAAGTTATTCCTTTGGAGATATCCTGCATACATACCTCCAGGAGTGGGAGCTATATGTTAAGAACAATTGCAGGATTGGGCCCTAAATGTTTTACAACAGTTTATTACTTTGTATGCATTTCCCAATTGCTTTGCAGACTCTCTTATTAAGGAGTAGCAGCCATCTTTTGCATACAGCTTTTTGTAAATAAATACACTTTTGCATTTGGGTCATTGTTTGCACTCACTTTCTTATAAGTGGCTAGCGTTCTGCTTACCTTGGAGTTGCAGAACTACCTTGACAGTGTGTGTCCTGGACTTTGGAAACTGAACACGTTGCTTCCCCAAAATATTCTTCGCTAGAGATCCCATAGGTTTCTGCCTAATCTACTCACACTTACACCTGGCTTATCAGAAGGGAAACCTTCAGCCGAGTATTTTTCTTTTCCACTAGAGGAGGTCAGCATTATTTAACAATCATATGACCACCTTTTTTGAAAATCATGTTTTCTGTTATAATCTTATATTTTCCCTTTTTTCATGCTTCAGAAGCAATGTAGAAAGTTACAGCTGAAAAGTTGTTACTGAAGTTGGTACAGTGAGTTTAGACTAGCAACAGGGAAGGACTTTGAAGTGGGACAAAATTAAAGATCTTTATTCTACATCCTTTCAAATTACTATTCCTTTAAAACAAGATGCCGAAAGATTGAAAAACACCACCACTGTACTAATGCGCATCTTAGAATTCAGAAATATCAATTTCAAGCAACTATGAGCAATGATCTCTCAGCCAAGTGGGGAGAGAAATAGTAACTACTCTTAGGCAGTAGTTACAGTAGACAGAGGAGGGGAAGCTCTGACTGCACCAGCCAGAGGGGAAGTTGTAATGAACTCTATTTACCCAAGCCAGGAAAAGCTGCTGTCCCCACTCAGCACGCTAAGATTCTTAGGCTAAGAACAAGTACAC